TGTCGACACCAAGGCGGAAAGCCGAGAGCCTCACGAGACGTGGGCTCCGCGAGGAAACTCGGGCAGCAGAGTGTGGAGGGAGGGAGAGCTGGGATATGGGTCACAGGCAAGGGGGAAAAAGAATAAGAAAAATATAAAAAGGGCAAATAAATGCACTTGTCATGGCTCTCATGGCAACTTCAGAAAGGAGACAGCAACGGCTCCTAAAACCTCCCTCGCTCTCAAATATTATTGCAGTGCTTAAGAAACTAGAATCACAGAACCATTAAGGTTGGAAAAGACCTCTCAGATGATCAAGTCCAACCGCCGACCCACCACCACCACCACCAACGGCTGATCATTAGGGAAGCATCCGGACGCATAAGAACAAGAAGGAAAAAGGAAACTCTTGTAAAGAAGAGTTGAAAAAATTCTGTTGGGAGACCTAGAAACCAGCAGCTAACTTGTCTACCACCAGTAACAGCCAGCAGCAAGTAGGCATTAAAAATAAATAATAATAATATAAAAAAGGCAGCCTGATGAGGTCTGGTCACCTTTTGTTTCAGACACTGAAAAGCTCCCTTGCAGGGCAAGGTATGAGAAGAAACAAGGCTTTTGCTTGTTACCATTCCCAAAAAAGCCCACCTTTTTCTGCTGGAGATGGCACAGAGGCAGCGCTCGCTCATCTGCACACCCACACACAGCACGGTCCCAGCTCGGATCTCCCACAGCCGGGGCCTTGACTGGCATCGCTCGCACAGGCTCCAGGAGGGAAACCCCATCCCTTCGTCCGCGGGACGGATGGGGCTTTGCAGCCTCTTCCCAAACCCGCATCCCAGGCACGCGCAGGGCGGGGGGAGCTGCGGGGTGCGACGGCCCTACCGGCGGTCTGCGAGGTGGGTCGACACGGAGATAAAACCTGCCTGTCCCATCCGTCCCCATTCCTCCACCTCCCCAGCGCCCGGCGAATAAGCCCCCACCGACAGCGAACGCTGCTGGACATGGCCCCAGGGCTGAATTTACCACGATGCAGAGTAATACTTAAACAGGGATACAAGATGGTGGGGAACAACAACAACAACCCTTATGTTTTGTTAAATTCAGCAATTTACGAGGCTGGAATAATTAGTGGTTTAAAATGTTTTGACACAAGCAGCCCCAATAATCATGATAAATCATATCAGGCATATGCCCAGATCCTTGAAGTGACAGATGACAAACAGAGCAGTGACAAGACGCTCCATCACACGGGGAATCATTGAGTTAATGGAAGAATTATTGCTTCTGAAATCCACTCCAGTCCTATTGTGGGGAACATTCCAATTCATCAAAGCCAAATGAACATTAATTGCTGCAGCCTGGTAAGTTTTCGAGCTGCTGTGACCTTCATTGAATTTTAATCCAAAACAGATAAGATTTACTTCCACACAAGAGGAAACAACACAATTAAACCCAAATGACAGCTAAGATTATGGGGAAAAAACACAACAGGCGTAATGACAAAAATATTGATTCCTTTCTACTTGACACTGTGCAAAAAAAAAAAAAAAAGGTAAATAAATAAACTCTAGCGTTTGCATATTTGTTTTTTCCCCTTCCTCCCTTCTTTCCATTTGGGAGACAAATTTCACATGCTCAAGCCAAGAGAAAAGGGGTGGCAGACAGTAATGGAGACTGAATTCCCTTTAACTGCTGTAATTAATGTTATGTCTCATTGGGGACAGATTAAGAAAAAACAGTGAGGAAAGCAAAGAAAAAAAAATAAAAATCAAGTATTATGTTGCTGTTGAAGATGCCCTTGAGCTCAGAAAGGGAGGTGTGAAGAGGACCATGGTCAGCCAGAGCCCACGCCATTTTGAGAGGCAGGTGGTGGCCCCAGGGACCCAGGGTCACAGGCATCAGTGGACCCTGTCCTGCTGCACCGGAAGCAAACCCACCCCAAACCACAAAGCCACACACTAACAGCCAAGATCACTGGAAGAACGAGTAAACCCAGGATTGACACCTCCCTGGAGCCCCACGCAGCACAGAGGGGGTCTTGGCTTTAGAGGCAGAGCAGGAGCAACCAGCCAAGTCATAAATATCTACGCAAACCCAAAACGGCGTTCCCATCAGAGCCAGCTTGCCTTGGAGATGCCTCACTGCCCAGTCAAGCGTTGCCAGAACACTCCCTAAATGTGGGATTAGCGAGATCCTCCAGGCAAACCTTCCCCAGCTTTCTAGAACTCATCCGGAGGACAAGGGGACAGGTAAAAGCAAGCGTTACAGCCACTTACAGGAGCTGGAAGGAAGCCCTTCCCCGGGTCCTCCCGTCCCCGCAGCGAGATGCTGGGCTGATGCTGGACGGGGCATGCAGACCCTGAACGCCAAGGCTGCGCTGCGGCGGGCTGAAACGCCTCCTGCACTGCGGGAATGGTGTTTTAGTCCATAGAGAGCATGCAGGAGACATCGGGCTTCACGGTAGGAAGGCAGGAGGAACGGCATTCGAGAAGCTGGAAAGCGGGGCACGGGGATGTCCAGCTGCCTCCTGAGGCAGGAGAAGGTATACGGCACGACCGGGGAACCCCACTGCCAGGGAGGCAGCAGGGCTCGAGGGATGCAGGCTTTCTGGGATGCCATTTAGCTGGGGTCAGGGAGGAAAGGAAAGGCCTGGGAAGGCAGCCTGAGCAGAGCCTGGGGACTTGGATAAAATATTTCACTCAAAAACAAAGACTTTCGCCCCATTTTACTCTAGCTACAGAACTCCATGTGGTCTTGAGGGGGAAAAGCCCAACAAAACACGCATTTATCTTCTGCTAGTAACGCAGAACTTGGCTCAGGTTCACTCAAAAAGCTCATGAATCTTTTAAAATAAACTGGCCAAAGTCTCAAGTCTGTGCTGGAATCCTGACCCAGGGAAGCGACGCCCAGCGCTCCTGCCTCCCAGGGACACGCTGCCAGACCCTGTCCCGGACCCACATCCCTGCCTGGGACCCCAACTCCCGTAGCAAGGAGTATCAGGATTTATAGAGAAAGTGGAATTGTGGCTCATTCTGTGCGGGAGGAACTCTCTTGTCTTCCCCTTGCTGTTGCAGCAGGGCAGGAGAGGCTAACCCCGGATTAGGGAGCAAAAACATTTCTGCTGTGGCATGCACAGTGATGCCTTCGGCTCCAGCCCACCAGCATCGCTGCTCCTGCACTCCGAGGCACAGCAAGTGAAGGCTGTGGGCAGGAATTTCTCAGAGAAATTCACTTCTCTCCCCAAAGCATCAATCCATTACAGTCATCACACTGTTTTTTAGATAGATCAGCTCAGCAAGGTCTGAGGTCCAGGATCAAATCTCTCCCTGCTGAGGAAAATCTGCATTTCAAGCAATTGCACTAATTGCCAGGCTCCAGAGCCAGTGTCTCCCTGCAGCCACGGGCCTCTTCTCCACAGCTCAGGTTTCCCACATAGCCAAGCAATCCCATGCTCAAACCAAGGACTGAGTTTTCCACACCCCAGACTTGGGTTTTGCTGTCTTCATCTCTTGCTCCATCTCTCATTTATTTTTTCAGGCTCACTTTCTAAGCACACCAGTTTTACCTTTTTTCCTTCCAAAACTCCATCACAATAACATTTTTAGCAGGACACAAGAAACGTTCCCTATCCAACCCGGTAAGCTGCAGTCCCCAATTCCTCTCCCTTCTGCCATCCTGCTATCACACTGCCTCTTCTCTTGCCCAACAGCCTTAATGAAAAGCCTCCCTCCATGTTCGTCTGCACTCAGTGCCCAATCTAAAGTCCCTCTGACAAGGGCCGAGACAATCAGAAAACCAGATTTAAGTTGTAAAAGCCAAACAGCTGCTTGTTCAAATGGAGGGAAAAAAGGCTTTGCGCAGCCACTGTCTCCGCTCCTTCCAAAACAGAAAACAGAAGGCATGGAGACGCGCCCAGCTTCCGAGATAGGAACAGATGCACCTTTCACAGAGGGTTGCTGCAATTGGATCCCCAATCCTATAAAACACTTACTTTGGGCAAACAGGTGACATGCTTATACTCAGGATCTACAAGCCTAACTCCTTTTTTCCTTTTTCTTTCCTTGACAGGATAGTTTATCCCAACGGGAGTTAAGGGACAGTACATTTAATCCCGTTTTACAGAGGGAGCTCTAAAGCACAGAGGGATGATGGACCAGATCCAAATACGCAGGCAACCACCTCATAAGACACTGAAATAAGCATTTTTAAAAGGCAAACGAGCACATACTCGATGTGTTAATAAAAGGTCACATAAACACCTGAGATGGAGATACTCAAAGCAGCTACACCATCTTTTTACTTTTAGGTCAGGCTCATCCTTTGCAAGAGAAGGATATCGTGCTATAGCCCACACCCACCTGACAGGTAAAACTCCATTCCAGAAACCTTCAAGAAGAAATGACCAAGCCCAAAATCTTGCCTTTGCACACGCCCGAATGCAAGACCAAGGAGAGATACTCCACCAACACACCTTGCCAGGTGCCAGAAGAGGAGGAACCACAAGCCCCCTTATCTCCCTCCCAACGGCTTCTTCCCCACGATCTGTTGTCTTATTTTATTTCATTTTCTTAAAAGACCAACCACTTCTTTTTTTTTTTCTTGACCCATTCAAACATATCTCTCCCTCTGTGGAGGCCCAAACAAGAAGGGACATGGACATCTGCAAACCAGACTCGCCACGCAGCTCCTTATCACCACCCTCCCCCACTGTGACCCAGTTGCCAGCCGCCATCCCCTCCCAGACTGCCCCTCGTCCTCTCGATGCCGTTGACAGCTTCCACTCACCATGACCGCGATGTGAAGAATGTGCATCTGCTCCTCCACTATCTCCGAAGGCTCCTGGAGGCTGGGGGGGGTGGCCCGGGACAGCTGCTCGGCACTGCTCATGGAGACATGGAAGTACAGGGTGCCGTTCTCCAGCCACTGCTGCTTCCAGTGCACCAGCGAAATGTCAGCCACTGTCCCCGACATCTCTGCAGGGACAAAACACGCAACTGAGGATCAGTTTTCTCCACGGTGCTAAAAGGTGGTATTCTTAGCAGTCCTGGAAATCGGGACTTTTGAGTCTCATCCCTAGTACTGCTTCTGATCCGCAGGATGAGCGTGAGCTTGGTTTTTTGGCCTCTGTCTGCTGTTTCCCCCATATACGAACAGTAACAGTTGTCTTCCTTCATAAAAAGCAAGGGGCTACGAAGTGCCTTGGGATTTCTGGACTAGAAAGGCAACAACAGTAAATAACCCATTGTACAAGGTGCCTTCAACGCCCTGGAGCTCTCCCAGCAAAAAGGCTGGAAGGAGCTCTGGGAGGGCTGCAGCCAAGCCCAGGGGAGGTCTGCTGCTCGGCACGGGGCCGAGGGACGACGCTCGGTGCCAAGCAAGCCGAAACACAGACATCACTACATAGTCTGCTGGCTTCTGCAACAAAACCTTCCTCCAGGTATCGAGGCAGTACTAGAGTTGCCTTTAGCAGGGACAGTCCCAGCACGAACTGACAAGCACCAGTAAGAAGAGAGAACCACCAGGCTTGACAAATACATATTGACCTTGGGGTTGCATGTCTGCTGGTCTTCCTCTGCAGCCTTCTGTTAGTTTTACATCCCACCCGATCCTGATTTACAGCATTAGGCACCCTGGGAGCTGGGATTGCAGCATCCCAGCACACACATCCACCACGGCAGCTTCCCAGGGGCACCACGCCTGATTAATTTGGGGCTCGGACACTCCAGGCACGGTGTAAGCAAAAGCCAGCCCCAGCTCCGCAGCCTCCAGCACAGCCAGAGCCAGCAGCCTCCAAGCCTCAGCTGCAGCTCCCAGCTTGGCCAGGCGGCAGAAGACGCAGGCAGGAGTGCTGACAGCTCCACAGCTGCCCATCAAGTTTTAAACGGATCTCTGCAAAGAACTGATTTGGCAGTTTAGCAGCAGAATCAAAACCGAAAAAAAAAATACTAGCGCAAAATGAGCCAAAATATTTCTCCTTCCACCACCTCTTTTTTTTGTGTTTGTTTTTCCATTCGCAATATAAGCAATGGGAAGCAAGTCAGGTCCTCTTAGTCACCAGGCCCACGGCTTCGCAATCACCCGCTTCGTGGGGGATCCAAATTCAATCCTCTCCTGTCTGGGAACAGGAACCAGCTATAACGGACAGTGACCTGCAGTCTGCACGGTGTGTCGACTCCAGAAAGGTGGCCAGCATGAGTTCAGGTTCCCCTGGCACCATGGTGGGAACGGGGACGTGGACATCAAGCATCACCTGCGAGAGGGTCAGCGGGGCGAACAAGGCTTTGCCCTGTGGGCAAAGCGGCCAGGGGCAGCAGTGGCATTTTGCATTTCATTTTCCTGAAGCCAGCTGGGCAAAAGCACATCCAGTTCCAGCTCCCAGTGGAGACAAAGCAAGGAACAAGCATGGCTGAGGCTGTCCTGAGGAGATACCCACAAAGGTGCTTCAAGACACCCGGGTGCTGGCTCACGAGCAGCCATACAGGCTACAAGACGAGGCACTACAGACCCACATCCCAGCGCAGCAAAAAAAACCCCTCTCATTCCTTCAGGAACAATTTTTCTTACCCTTGAAATCAATACCTTTTCCAGCAGCAAGCTCCTGGCTTTCCATCGTGGATTAAAACAGAGCCAACCACCCCCTGGTCACAGCAAAATCCCCATCGCACCCCTGTCCTGCAGGATCCCCCCTTGCTGCACAGCCCGGCTGAGGGCAGGGACAAGGTTACCCCGTTACTGCCAACCCCCTCATTTAGCACCTCACTAATTGCACCACCGACACACCTGAGCAGGCTACACTGTCACCTGAATCTCATCAGAGGGCTGTGCTCATTAGCTCTGCCTCCGGAGCACAGCGCCGGTCGTTATCCCCCATCTCTATGCACATCTGAGTGCTCAGAGAAGAAAAACTAAACAGCTGACCACGTATGGGATCCATCCAGAGCCCATGCTCGCACTTGGAGGGGATGCGTGAACTCCATCATATCTCTGTCACTGCAAGGAGATCGCTCCCAATAATCCTTTCCCTCCTTTAACAGAAGTAGCTGTTTGCTGGAGCAAATCAGTGGCAGAGGTGTTACTTGCCCTCTTTACCCTGTGAATCAAGCCAGCCCCACGGCTCGTGCTGCAGGACGGCATCTGCGCCAGGCCTGGGAATCGAATTCAATGAGAGTTTTGCGTCTCCTGCCTCCAAAGAGGCTAAAGCAGCAGGTTCCTAATAGTGGTAAAAAAAGAACAAAACGAGACAAGTATCAGGGCTGCTTAATTGCAGTCATCTTCCCAGCAATACGTCAAAGGTCTGTACTGAAAAGCATCTCCACGTCTAATTAAAATTGCAACAAATGCTACTTGTAGGAGAAACGGCAGTAACTCAGCTTCGGGATAGATATCACAAGCTCTTCTACAGAGGCAAACAGGCCATGGGACAGCCCAGAAGCGCCAAGAGACAGGACTCTGGTCACGCGAAGCCATCTTAACTCTGCTCAGAGGAACAGTCACCCGCAGGAGATGATGATTTACGGTATTACACACTCCTCACTTGCACACCCCTGCAGAGACCTTTCCAAAAGTGCTCAGGAAAGGAGGTTACACAGCCCAGACCACAGCACAGACCCGATGTGGGTGCCATCAGGACCCCACCACTACCGTTACCCAAGGCTACAGCACATCAGCGAAGCAGGGAAGAAGCCTCCAGGGTCAATCTTTCTCCAATTTTTTTCCCTTGCGCACACATTTTTTGCATGGGATGTTTAAAAGGATCACAGAGAACGTTTCTGGCAAGTTGTGAGATATAGGCAATTTTTTGGATTTTAGCCTAGACTGAAGATAAGCCTGTTTCATTTTCAAAAGGTCTCTTCCAAAAGTAGAAACTTCAATTTAACATTCATTTCAGAATTTTAAGCAAACCCAGCAGCGAGGTGATTGCTGACGAAAGCTGACTTGCCAAGCTGGGGTAGCGTTCACCATACGTTTATAAATACCTGTAGGCTCGTCACCCCCACAGCCCGTGCTGCGGGAAACCTGGCCGGTCCCACCCCCAGCACCGCCACGGCATCAGGAGCCTTCCCTCGGACTCGCTGCGCACAGAACGCCAAGCCCTTTCAAGCCCTGTTAGCTGCTGAGCCCTTCAATATCCAAACGCGGGGAAGTTTCTCGGCCTCATGTACTTGACATGAATATTAGGCTGCCTGTGTTTCGCTGGACACGCATTGTCACTCCACTATCTACACGGTAGCTACAGCAGTGATAGCCCGTCCATCAGAAAGGATGCAATAGTCTGCAGCAAGATTGCCTGTTATCAGAGCTTTCAGATGCTTTCGGAACAAATTAAGGGCATTCC